CAGCGTTCTTTAGCCCAAAGGGCATGACCCTGTAGCAGTATGTCCCCTTTGGCGTGATGAATGATGTCTTCTCTTGGTCTGGGGGATGCATGCTAATCTGGTTGTACCCCGAGTATGCATCCAGGAAAGTGAGCAACTCATGCCCAGCGGTGGCGTCGATGAGGAGGTCAATCCGCGGCAGTGGATAACTATCTTTTGGGCATGCCTTGTTTAGTTCTGTGAAGTCGACACAGAGACGCCACTTCCCATTAGCCTTAGTAACCATTACTACGTTGGAGAGCCACTCTGGATACGCCACTTCCCTGACTGCTCCGTTATCAACCAGCTTTCTAATCTCCTTGTCCATGGCTTGGGCCCTTTCAGTGGAGGCTCCCCTTAACTTTTGGCGAACAGGCTTGTACAGTGGATCGACATTGAGGTGATGGGTAGCTACTTCCGGGTCGATGCCCTCAAGGTCCTCATGCGACCAAGCAAAGATGTCCATATTACGCTTCAAAAATTCAATCAACAGGGGAGCCAGCTCTTCAGAAAGGGAAGAGCCAATGTAAATTCTTCTGTCTGGGTGCTCCTTTTCTAAGACCACAGGGATGAGTTCCTCGACTGGTTCTCCTCTTTCTGTTGCGGAGTCATCCCTTGGGTCAAGGACCTCAACCTGCAATGCTTCTTGGGGCTTCCTAGCCTTCATAGAGGATACATAGCACTCTCTGGCTGTTATTTGGTCCCCTTTGACCTCTCCGACTCCATTTAAGGTTGGAAAGCGGAGAACGAGATGGTAGGTAGAGGGCACAACTCTTAATGTGTTAAGAGCTGGCCGCCCTAATATGATGTTGTAGGCTGACGGGCATTCTATTACCAGGAAATTGACCATGACTGTGGAGCTTCGGGGTGTTACTCCGGCGGTGACGGGAAGTGTGATGGATCCAAGGGGATACACTTTTTCCCCTGAGAATCCAATGAGGGGTGACCTGATTGGCTGTAGCCTCTCCCTGCCCAGGTTGAGCTTGTCATAGGCCTCTGCAAACAGGATATCTGCAGAGCTGCCACTATCTACCAGGATCCTGTGCACATGAAAGTTGGCCACCGTCATGGTGAGCACCAAGGGGTCGTCATGGGGGTGTTGGATTTCCTCCAGGTCCTTGTTTGAAAAAGATATGACCTCGTCGCTTTCCTGCTTCGGCACCTTAGATGGGCGCATCTCGTAGACATGTCTTGCCTTCCTGGCATGGGCCTTCATCGCGGAAAGTGATTCTCCCCCACCTGCTAGTCCCCCTGAGATAGTGTGGATTTCCCCCACAGGCTGCTGATCTTCCTGGTTGTGAGGTTGTGGTACTCGTTCCCTTCCAGCAACGTACTGACGTAAGTGACCACGCTGGATGAGCTCCTCAATTTGCCTCTTGAGGTCGTAGCAATCGTCGGTGTCATGCCCGTGGTCACGATGGAAGCGGCAATACTTGTTAGGATTTCTGCGATTTGGAGGAGACTTCATTTTTCCAGGCCACTTTATCGCGGGGTCATCCTGGATCTGGAATAGGATGTGTTCCACGGAAGCATTGAGGGGAGTGAAGGGTTGACGGTTCCTCTGAGGAGCAGGACCTAGCCGGTCCTTGACAGGGACTTTCTCTGTCCTGCCATATTTGTTGCTGGTTTCCTTCTTATCGTCCTTCTCTCTTTCCTTCCTTTTCTCACCCGCTCTGGAAGACTCACCCCGCCTGGCCCTTGTGATGTCTTCTGCGTTTATGTATTTTTGGGCCTTGGCTAGCAGCTCTGGCATGCTCTTCGGTGGGCGCTTCAGAACTGAGAAAATGAAACTTGATGAACGGAGGCCACCCAAGAAGGCGGTCATCGTCACCTTGTCGTCAGGCTCATCAACTTGGAGTACCTCCTCGTTAAAACGAGTGAGGTAACTCATCAGGCTCTCCTCGCGGTCTTGCTTTATACTAAGCAGGTGCGTAACTGGCTTCTGGTGGCGACGACCTCCTATGAAGTGTGAGACGAATGATCTGCTAAGCTCGGCAAAAGAGGTAATTGAGGCGGGGGAGAGCTTAGCAAACCACTATCGGGCAGACCCCTTTAATGTGGTTGGGAATGCCCTGCACATGATTTCGTCTGGTACGTTGTGCAATTGCATCAAGGTCTTGTAAGTGTCGAGGTGGTCCAGTGGATCCTTTGTTCCATCAAAGGTCTCCACAGATGGCATTTTGAACTTCTGAGGGAGGGGGTAGTTTGCTACATCAGGTTTTAAAGGGGTATCAGTACGCCTTACCAGGTGGTCAACAGTTTCGGGTCCCTGTGCCTTCATGGCGTTGAAGACATCACCGAGTTGATTCTGTACCTCCTTTATCTTCTCGTCCCAATGATTGGGGGCTCCTATGGAATGATCATGGAAGTGGTTTCCATGCCTCATGCTTTGGTTTTCACCCTCATCCTCCTGAAGATAAGGGTCCTCTCCCTGGAAAGCAAGGGGAGGGGGAGGTGCAGCTCCCTCATGTTGGGCTTCCCGAAGTGGGGTGCCCAATGGGACACTGGGGCGTGGAGCAACAGGGCGTGGTGCTCCTTGATGTCCAGGATGTGGAGCTCCTTGGGGTGCTCTATGTTGTGCACCTCCATGGGGCCCTCCATGTTGTGCACCTCCGTGTGGTGCTCCACCTTGGGGTCCTCCATGTTGTGCACCTCCGTGTGGTGCTCCTCCTTGTCCAGCAAGTATGAGTTGCAGTAACTGTTGGTTTTGAGCAACCAGTTGCTGCATGGTCTCCAATATTTGTTGGGGATTCGGAGCTAGAGTATCCGGAATAGGGTTGATAGGCGGGGGAGCAACCTCCTCCTCTCGTGGAGGATTGTCTTCGTGTTGGTTCATGGATCGAGTAGTGATCGCCATTAGTTAATGGATGTAATGTTCAGGAGTGAGAATTTTATCGATTCCCACAGACGGCGCCAAACTGATGATGCACAAAAATGATTTTGCACGCCACCTGTCAAGTATAGGTAATAAATGCAATGAAATCAATGAGAAAATTAAAGAAGACACAATTTATAGTGGTTTGGTCAATTCGACCTACGTCCACTCTTCAATGGCTTCAGTTGCCGGGTATTTTATTGATTCAAAGGTATGGAGAATAGAGATACAAGCTTTGAGAGAGAGAATGGAGAATCAAAGAAAGTGGTGATCTCCGGTAGTCGGTTCGTCCTCTGTAAATCTCTAGTGGGGCGTGACATTTATCTCCTTCTTCTACCAGATTGGAGCTATTTTATAGCAGCTAAGAGATCATTCTTGTGGAGATAATGACATATCCTCAAGGCTTCTTTATCGCAGCTAAGAGATTATTCTTGGTGGAGATCACGACTTATCCTCAATGGAAGGAGGAGGTTGGGGAGCTCTTCATGAAACGTGGTCAAAGATTGAACCGTTTCCTTCGGTGGTGCAGATAAGCTTCCCGTGTTCTCCTCTTGATGACGTGCTAAGCAAGAAGTCTAACCGGTCTTGGCCTGTCTTGGACTTGGTGGATTTGGACCGTTTCCTTCGGTGGTGCAGATAAGCTTCCCGTGTTCTCCTGACGTGCTAAGCAAGAAGTCTAACCGGTCTTGGACTGTCTTGGACTTGGTGGAATCAAAATTAGGTTGGGGCTTCTCAACTGGGGTTGGGTTTTAACACATAAATTGGACTATTTGAGCTTAACCCATCAAAAGTAAACCAGGAGAGGAAGTTTGTGATGTGGATCGGCGGTTTTGGTCAGGTAAAGTCTTGCTCCGATACCGATTTCCGGTGCGATTTTGATGTCTTTCGATTGAACTCCGGTGATAGGATCCACTGATGCCGGGACGACGTCGTTGCCAGTAAGTCTCTCGACTCGACCATCTTTGTAGACTCGCATGAGGGGAGAGAAATCATGGACTATTTCGGTTGTACTTGAAGCCATGGCGAAGAGAATGAACAGAGAAAAAGAGGTGTTAAGGGCAGAACTCTTGTTGGAAAAGATGGACTCTATATATATTATAGCTTGTGTGTGTGTGTGTGGGAGAGAGGGAGAGAGAGAGAGATAGATTCATTTGTAACTGAGGTGTATATTGTTTAATTATCTTACAGCCACACCAGTTTTTCCATTTTAAGGTCGCAAATTCCAACTTTTTCTTCTCACGTAGTGTTGAGTAAAACAAAAAATGAATGGGACCAATTCTTTGGTCCCCAACTTGGACTGTATCTATAAATTTTATTAATTTAAGTGGTATTTTTATAAGTTATTTTACAACAAAAAAAATTACATTTTTTGTAAGTGTTTTTATCGCTTCTGTAATAAAAACACTTAAAAAAAGTAGCAAAAATATATACAAAAGTAATAAAATTATAGATGAGAGAGAGAAATTCATTTGAACCAGATGTATATGTGTTGTTGGACCGTTAGTTTGGCATTTTAGATATAATTATCCTACCTGCCTGTAAAATGGTGCACAACGAGTTTGAATCCTATGAAATTAGAGCTTGATGATGATCAGTAAAGTCACTAACATGGATCTAAGGTCGTACTAATAATATTTATATGATTTTTATAGTATATTCACCACATGGAATAGTGTAAGAATTCCTGCTTCGAGATTAAGTTGAATTATACATTTTCTACTCCGACTGATCCTATTATATGCATGAACAAGAATGATTCTAAACAGGTACGACTTTCCCCTAAACTACCAACTCAAATGGTTATCAAGCAAGCTTATCACTACACCACCCTTACATTTAAAGTCCCTTTTTTACCATTACCAAGAACGTATTTCAATTCCATACCATAACCAATTCGAACAATTGCTACAAATAGTGTATTTAAGAATTACAACTTGTGAAACTTCAATAACCATAAGCTTATTAGTCAAGTGTCAATTTATACATATGATACACACAATCGCTACACGAATAATTTGATAGTGACACGATATACATGTTTAATTGTTATAATATGAAAAACGTTTCTCTACAATAATTGTAAAAATATTTGCTTCAACAACGAGCGAGATAAAATATCATAATAAATTAGAGAAAAAAGTATTTCAACAAGAAACTCGATAACTATAGTTTGTAGGTGTTTACACGTCTTTCGAGTTCAATTTATATGAATCCATACTAGTAAGTGGATTCCCATTATTGAAGGTTTACTTGGGATATGAAAAGAAAAGACTTACAAGAAGATAACCACTAGGCTTTGTCCTGATTCAAAAAAGAAGCAACTCTTTTGAGCAAAGCCAAAGCATTTTCACAAGTGGGATTAAACAAATGAAAGACATGGTCCTCCCCCTTGGCCTCCATAACCTCTACCTTTCCTTTCCACCCTCTTTTGTCCAATAGCTCCTTGTAATACCAACCCCTATCTTTCAATATATCTTTCTCAGCAACACAAACCAGAACCCTCGTACACACTAGGCTTGAAAGCTCCGGATTGAGAGCCGGGTTCAGAAACGGGTCATCCGAACCAACCGTCAACGGGTTCACTAACCGCCACAAGTTATCAACGAAGGCTTTATTGGGGAAATTGGATTCAGCAGCTTCATTGCCAATTGGTTCTTCACCCCAGAAGAATGGATGGTTTAAAACCAACCCGACAAGATTGATACCTTCCGGTTTTTCTGACCCGACCCGCATGCCCATGTTGTGTGCTATGTTACCACCTGCACTATCTCCTCCGAAGAATACATGTTGGGGGTCAACATAGTCCTTCAGCCATGGCTCCTGGCCATCTCCTTTGAAATGGGAAGCAACCCATTGGATCGCGACCCATGAATCTTCGTAAGCTGCAGGGAGAGGGTGCTCTGGGGCAAGCCTGTAAACATTAAAATTGTCAATCGAGATGTGTCGCATTATTTTTATATCTATTTACTTTGACTAGTATCATTTCAATTTCATGCCGTATCCCATTTACATCAAAAATAAAAAATAAAAATCCTTATTTTCTAAAGATATTAATATGTTATTTGTATTAATACCAATAAAAATAATAATATTATTTAAATCTAATATACTGATTTAATCTAACATAACCATTAAATTGATTGCGTATTCTAATAAATATTGAGTCAAGGTCTAAGTAACGTTAGTCCTAATGAAAAAATCTACCCATAGTTTCATTTTCGAGTTGATTTGGTATGAGTTTGTGTTATAAAGTTAGAACAATATTATAGAAATCTAATTTATGGATCTAATTTAATACAATTATTGAAATAATAATGTATTTTAATGGCGGATGAAACTAACCTTTCATAAATGAGTAAATACTACGTAGACTTATAAAGTTGACATCCTTACCTGTAATTCACAGAAACTACAACAACGTTTGCTTCTGCGGCAAGTGCGTTAAGATGGTTATGGTACGTTGGAGAGAAGGCGCTTTCGACGAGAAAGCCTCCGCCGTGAAAGTAGACTAGGAGAGGAAGTTTGTGGTGTGGGTTGGCGTTTCTGGGCAAGAAAAGCCTGGCGGCTACACCTATCTCCGGTGCAATTTCGACGTCTTTAGATTGAACACCGGTGTCGGGATCCACTGATGCAGGAACCACGTCGTTACCCAACAATCTTTCAATTCGACCGTCTTTGTAGACTCGGATGAAGGGCTGAAACTCGTGGACTATTTCTGTTGTACTTGAAGCCATTGCAGAGAGATTTAGGCAGAGCACTTGTTTGTCACCAATGGAGAGAGAGATATATAGAAGAGAGAGAGAGACATGGAGGATGTATTTGGACCATTTTTTGGCATTTATTATTATCTCTTTTTTTTTGGGGGGTTGGGGGGTGGGGGGGGGGGGAGGTGAAGTATTTATTATTATCTCACCAAACTGCAACATTGTCCTCTTACGAATAAATATTAGGTAAATTACACCGTTAGTCTCTTAAGTTTGGCACTTGTTGTACTTTTATCCCTAAAATTTTAATTTTATCAGTTTTATTCTCAATGTTAATATACTAATTGATTTTAGACCTTACCCCTAATGTCCCAAAAAAAAAAAATGACAGAAAAGAACACAAGAGCCGGCATGTGATTAACCAAACTGCAACATTGTCCACTTATGATTAAATATTATTCAATGGTTGAAATTATTGACATTTTGTATATGTCTTTGTTTGATACACTTAACATAAAGAATATTTATGTAACTTTCATGACATTTCAGCATAATTATTTTTATATATAATTATTTCTTGTGCTTAATGGAAGAATTTAAATCCATTGAAATTAGATCCATGACAGCAGCATGAAGCCATGAACCAAAGGAGCATCGTGATGTAGTCGACCTGGTGGCGATTAGTTGTATGGCTGTTAAATGAACCGGGTAGTTTGCTTTCGACTTATTTTTGACTTGCTCATATTATAAAATGAACTTAATATGAACAAAATTTTAAACTCGTTTGGTATTCGAGTCAAGCTCGAAGTATTTGTGAGCTAGAACTGAGTTTAAACATTCTTTGAAAAATTCTGGTGTTATTATTTATTTGTATGTTGATGATATGCTTATAATGGATACAAGTCTAGAAGTTGTTACCAATATTAAAAAGTTCTTCATGTCTAAGTTTGACATGAAAGATATGGAGAGACAGATAAAATTTTAGAAATTAAAATTTTGAGAACTCTAAATAGTTTGATGTTGTCTCAAGAACACTATGTGGATAAGATATTTAGAAAATTGAATCATTTTGATCATAAACCCATTTCTACACCTTATGATGCTAGCGTTAAACTAAAGAAAAAAAAAGTGATCATATGTGTCAAAATGATTATGCACAAATAATTGAAAGTTTAATGTATCTTATAAATTGTACACGTCCTGATATTGCATATGTTATTGGTAGATTAAGCAGATACATACATAACTTCAATAAAAAACATTGAAATGTTATATCTAGATTGTTGAAATACTTGACAAAGACTGCTAATTATAGTTCATTATACAATGGATTTCCCATTGTACTAGAAAAGTATAGTAATGCTGATTGAATCTCTAATTCAGATGAGACGAAATCCACAAGTAGGTATATATTCATCCTTGGTGGAGGTGTAGTGTTTTAGAAATCTTCCAAGCAGACATGTATAACTCGGTCTACTATGAAGTCCGAGTTTGTTGCCTTAGAGAAAGCTAGTACCAAGGCTGAATAATTAAAAATCTCTTAGCGAAAATCCCTTTATGGATGAGACTAATTTCATATGTGTCTATGCATCGTGATTGTCAAGTGTAATAACAAAGGCAAAAAATAAGACCTATAATGGTAAAAATAGACATATACGCTTAAAGTATAATATTGTGAGGCAGTTGTTTAATGATGAGATAATATCCTTAGACTTTGTGAGGTGAGAGATAAATTTGGCTGATTCTCTGACAAAACCACTAGGAAGAAAACTAGTGAATGAGATATCGAGGGGAATGAGACTTATGCCTATACAGAAATTTCAAGTGATGGTAACCTAACTTACATGAATGAAAATCACATGAAATAAGTTCATAAGGGTAATAACAAGTTATTGGGTGATTTGTAACACTATTATAATTTAATCAATATTTAAAATCCATCCTTATGGTATAGATGGTGAATACTATAATAAATAAGGTTGTGTTTATCTCTTAATAAATCCATAGCCTAGATTAGATAGTGTATTTAGTTACAGTATAAACTTGATGAATTCACTTATATAGATGTTGGAGTGAAGCTGTTTCCTATGAAAGCTTGGGCAGGTTTTCTAAAACATCTATGCATGTCCTATTCGCATTAACCTGCGATTAACAAACTCGGATAAGAGGGTCTAATGTGGATGACGAGTGTAGTCAGTTTATACTAAAAAAATCTAATTCATAGAAATTTATATTTCACTAAATTTTTGTAAGCTCTGTCTTATTTTTCCTAAGTGATGGTTCATAGTTCAAAAGACACCACCACAATGCATTAGATGTTCGTGTTCCCAAATCAAAGTTATTGTTTTTATATATACTTTGTATTTTGAAATATGTGGGAGATTGTTGTATTTAATTTATATTTCAAAATATAATATATATTTATTTCTAACATATATATATATATATATATATGTGTGTGTGTGTGTGTATAAAAATCAACAGATCTTCCTCAGCAACACAAACCTGCACCATCCCAGGCTTGGAAGATCCGGATTTTTAGCCAGGTTCAACAACGGGTCATCTGACCCAACAGTTGATGGGTTCCCAAACCGCCACAAGCGATCCACGAATGATTTGTTGGGATAATTTGTTTCATCATCTTCATTACCAATTGGTTCTTCGCCCCAAAAGAATGGATGGTTTAAAACCAATCCAAAAATACTGATACCGTCAAGTTTTTCTACCCCGACCCGGATGGTCATGTTATGTGCTATGTTTCTACCTGCACTATCTCCACCAAAAAACACACGTTCAAAATCAACATAGTCCTCCAGCCATGGCTCCTGGCCGTCTCCTTTGAAATGGGAAACAACCCACTTGATCGCAACCCATGAATCTTCATAAGCAATTGGGAGAGGGTGCTCTGGGGCTAACCTGTAAGCATTAAGGATGTCAATCGAGGTGTGTGTCGTGTTATTTCTTGGTCAAGTTACTTTAAATTGAGAGAGGGTGCTCTGGGGTTAGCCTATAAGTAAATATAGAGGTTTCAATCCAGTCGTGTTATGTTCTAAAATAATTGATAAAAATCATTTTATTCTAAAACAATTACATCAATCTATATCTATATCTATATTCAATCAAATTAAATTTTAATTTTTGGGCCCCTAATTTTTTTTGTAGACCCAACTTTAATGAAGTCAAATTTTACTTTTACAAGTTTTACATTAATATAAGATTCATTACATTAATCATAATACTATTTACATCTTAGAACCTATCAAGTATAACAAAACTATGTAATACCATGTATAACAAAATTATGTATTGTTTCTTTTGTATATTATTTTCAACTATTTTGATCAAATTTAAAAGTATGTATTTTAACTTTTCTTTTAAATTGAGTTTTAAAGTATGTATTTTAATTTTTCTTTTAAATTGAGTTTGTTAATAGAATCTTTTTGTTGCCATGACAGCAAAAACATCACTAGAGTGTCTAGTATTTGATATTGAACTTCAAATTTACTCTCTTACTATTTTGTTGATTATAAGTCCTTGAATGAATTTTATAAATCTAAATGATATGCTTAAAAAATTGAATATAGAAATTAAATAGTAAGTTAGCATCTCAAATAGCAAGAAATTTATTTTTAAATAAATATATTTTAATAAAAAAATATTATATATTATCATAATGATCATAATTAATGGGATCTCATCCAAAAATTCGCGTAGGGCCTCCATTTGGCTCAGGTCGACCCTTGGTGTATAGCGATATAGTTTACAGAACTATGACATTGTTTGCTTCTACAACAAATGAATTAAGATGATTATAGTACATTGGAGAGAAGAAACTTTGAACGACGAAAGCACCGCCGTGAAAGTAGACTAGGACTGTAAGTTTGTGGTGTGGGTTGGCGTTTGTGGGCAGGTAAAGCCTAGCCCGTACACCGATTTCAGGTGCAATTTCAACGTCTTTTGATTGAAATCCAGTGTCGAGATCTATCGATGCAGGGACGACGTCGTTGCCCTCCATTCTTTCGACTCGACCATCCTTATAGACTCGAAACACGGGGAAGAATTCATTGACTATTTCAGTAGCACTTGAAGCCATTGCAGAGAAAATGAAGAGACAAAAACAGGGCCGGCCCAACAACTTAAAAAATAAAGCCCAAGCGTTAGGTCCCAAATTTTTAAAAAGTTCATAATTTTAGGGGTTCTTTGGAAGTCAGTACACCTAATTAAACTTATTTGGTAAAAAGTACATAGAACAAAATATGAGTTAAAAAGTCATAAATGCCCATTTTAGAGTCATTTAATTCAAAATCTTTTATTTTTAATGAACCTTGATTCATATGTGTTTGATAATACATATAAATACGTATTTAATGCACCTTGACTCATATGTATTTGTTAATATATATATACACACACACACACACATATATATATATATATATATATGTATATATACGTGTATACTTGTTTATATATACAAATGTTTATATATATATGTGTGTGTGTGTGTATATATATATATATGTATATACAAATATATATACTTATTTATACACACACACACATATATATATTTGTTGTTAAATCTCTTATTTAAATTTTGAATTATCTTAAATGCACTTTGATTCATGCGTATTTTTTTTTTGAAAAGTGATTTTTTTTTCAAATTATATTTAATATACCTTGATTCAAACGTTTTTTTTTGGAAAATAATTTTATTTTCAAATTAATTTAATATCTAAATAATGTAATAGTATAACAATAACAGTGTAACAAATACACTGTAACAAAAACAGTGTTCAGTATTTTTGTATATATGGTAACAAATTTAAAATGGAGATAAATTATTTTGAATGAAATTATATGTTTAACAAAATGTAATAGTACAATATTTTGTGTAAATAGCTTGTTACACTATTATTGTTATACTGTTACATTGTTAGTGTTACACTGTTACACTTTTATTGTTACACTGTTATTGTTACATTATTACATTATTCGGATATTAAATTAATTTGAAAATATAAACATATATTAAATTTATATAAACATGTATATATAAATATATATATTAAAGTTTTCTCATAAAATTATGACATGTTTAATGC